TATCTAATTTTTCATCATACTCAACTCTGTTCTTTTCATTCTCTTTTCCTTGCATTTCTTTAGTATTCTTTTCGTTTATTAATCTCATTCGCATATAGTACGAGAACTATTAACAATAGAATAAATAACAATCACATTCTTATTTCTTTATCTATCCTTCATATTCTTACTCACTTGAGCATCGTTGTATTTGAATATATTGTCTATTCGTTTATAAAATTTCATTTAATGACCATTTTTCCATTTTTCTTTTCTTCTAATTGAAATTTGACCAAGTCATCAGAATTTAATAGATATACATCCATATTGTTATTATTAAGAATTTTCATATCGTTAGTTTTCTCTTCACATATATTTATATATTAATAGATAAATAAATAACGTTTACATTTAGTTAAATATTACATTATATCTCGCGTTATAACTTATATATCATTATTTGGTAGATATACATCCAAATTTAATAAATAGAATGTTTAGAAACTAAATTTGGGTAGATGCTGTGAGACGTGATCTGCTATAACATCAAGGTCGACACTCTCCGCATTAATTCGAATTAGTTAATAAACACTAACATATTATATATCTCTCTTCACAACTTATAAATAAATAAAAAAGCTAATATCATCATTATTTTTATACACCTAAACTTAAACTTTACATTTAGATGAATATAATTGTTATATGTAGAGACTAGGGTTGATGTTGTGAGAAGTGATCTGCTACAACATCAAGGTCGACACGCATCAGTCTCAATTAGTTAATAAATATTAACATATTATATCTTTCTTTATAACTTACTATTATTTTATAGAGATAAAAAGTGTATATTTAGATAAATATGATTTTGATGTTTACGAACTAAATTTGATTTATGTTGTGTGAAGTGATCCGCTATAACATCAAGGTCGACACTCTCCGCATTAAATCGAATTAGTTAATAAACGTTAACATATCATATCTCTCTTTACAACCTATGCATATAAATAAATAAAAAGTTGATATCATCATTATTTTATACGTATACACCTAAACTTATATTATCAAGATTATTTCACATTATTGACTTTCTCGTCACGCATATATAAAGAGTTCACATCTAGATAAATATAATTGTTAAGTTTAGAAACTAATTTTGATTTATGTTGTGAGAAGTGATCTGCTATAACATCAAGGTCGACACTCGCCGCATTGGTCTCAATTGGTTAATAAACACTAACAGATTGTATCTATCTTTATAACTTGGAAGTTAATATTTATAAAACATTCTGTATCAAATAATGTGTAGAAAAATGAGTTTTTCATTATTTATAGAGTCTTTCTTGATTTTTATCAATGTGTGTCAATATTATCTATCTGTACATATCTCCTTATCTTAAAAATCAATACGTAAAACCGTTTACTCATTTCTTCTTTCTTTCTTTTTGGTTTCTTTATTTTTATTGAATTGTTAATTAACATAACGATAACTTCTCTAATGTATTTGTCTGTTTCTAAAATATTCTCTTTGATAACTAACTTATACTATCTTTCTTATCTTGTGTTTTGTTTCTTTTTTCCTCAATAGATAGAAAATACATGTAAATCTACTTTCGGCTATCTAATTCTCTAACTAATATTATATTTTATAACATGTGTTTAACAGAAATACTATACATATATATATTTCTATTATTTTGTTTCATTTTCGTGTTTTTCTAATATCATTTTATTAAATAATCTTCCATCGTAAATTGTAGTTTATCACATCATTCATTGTATCGTTTTCCACTATACATCTCTAGCCTAATGATTATGATTGTCAGAACAATTAAACTGACTATATTACCGATGATATCATATGTTTTAATTGTTTAATTATGTATTTTTAAATCAACACAATGGCTATTTTCATATTTATATTTAGGGTTTCCATTACACATTGGTTATTATTACTTTTCCATCATTGAATAATTAGCTTATTTATTACTTCTCTTGCTGATTGTTGGTGATCTAACGTCATTATTAATTTCAACTGCATATCACTTCAAAATTATGGATATTATTTATTTATTAAAAATCTATTAATCTTCAAACATGCTAGATGGATCAAGGAACAATATAATCTTTCACACGTTGTATGATTTCCTGATGATGTATACCTGATAGGTGTACGAAAGCTTGAATACTTTCCTTTTTTTTTCTGTATGAAAAAAATGATATTTACAGCAGTTATCTCTCTTTTCTTTTCATATCTATTTCCCACTGCTATTTCTTCTAAACAAAGCTACATGTTATTATAAGGTTTCTCTGTAAAGCTATTTTTGCTGCTGCTTTCTGCATTATTAAATGAACGATAGCTATTGTTGACTTGCGAGAAAATAAACCAGGGCGAGAACTTAATATATTAATTTTCCATGTAGTTTTGGATAGAAGAAGTTGAGAAATTAGTACCCAATCATGATTATTACGATTTGTCCGAAGCAAGGCGAAGCGAACCGAGGCAGAAGCCCAACGAGGCGAGGCGAGTCGAGGGAGACTTTTGAAAACTAGACACGAGGCGAAGCGAGGCGAGGTAGAAGGCATCCGAAGCGAGGCGAGGTAGAAGGCATCCGAAGCGAGTCGAGACGATTCGACAAAAACTTGCCTCGTTTCGGGCTCTGCTATTCGATATATATTAAATACAATTATCAAACCGATTTAATTTCACATATAGTAGATCTACATCTTAAAAAAATTTTTAACATCAGAAGAACTTTCTGAATTATGATATTGTCGATCATATAGAATCATCAATAAATTCTAGTCATAAGAATGATACTTTCCTCTTTTATTATTTCTTCATGTTTTCGTTTGATTTTCTATAAATAAAGTTGTTGTTTTACTTATTCTATGTCATTTTTCTTTTAAATTTCTATTGATCATGTTATTATTTTTTTGTTTTATTTCTGTGCTTATTTGTAATTGCACAGTTCTTATCAATGTTCATATTTCAGTAAATAACATGCAATGTGTTGAGTGTGGGTGGGGGTGGAGGTGGCCGTGTGGATGTGGATGTGGATGTGACTTCTAATCTTCCGTTGATCCAAACCTACACACCCAGACACAGACCCACACCCACAGCCACACCACACATCCACAGCCATAACCACACCGCACAGCCACGCCGACACCCACCCAGAAGTAAAAATAAAGAATTTCAGATCTTTGACAGGCAACACTATTTGTCAAAAGTGACTGTAGTTCTCTACATACTGTTCAATACCGTTTGAAACTCCACACATCCTATGAAGAGATGCATTTCTACTGAATAGTTTTATTCGATTCATAGCGAACAAAGTAAAACCATGTATATGTTAGATAACATGAGTTCGTGAAAATCCATAAGTTTCAGTTTGATATCGATCAACAGATTTTCGGGTACTTTAACCCAATGTGCACTTGTGGATCGTATTCAGTGAGTTCCACGATTAGTTCTCCGCCCCATATACGCATTAAACCACCAGTTACGCGCACTCCTACATCAATAGCATGAGTTCCGGCGTCTAGTAAAACTAAATCCGACTTAGAACACACACTACTGACCCACGCACTAGTTCCACTGTAAAACAAACTTCCACCTCTATAATCTATGTGATTCATATCTCCACCCAACTCGGATGCTACTGAATTACGTTGGTCATTGTTGGGCAGAAGTAAATTCGAATTTAAAACATAATTATCAATTAGCACTCGTGTAATAGCAGACTTATTAGTCTGTTCAAGTTGGCATGACCCTTGAAATCGTATATAGTAAACCATCGGTACTTTATGATGAATGGCTAAAGTAAGGCCAGGAAGTTTGATGAGGACATTAGAAACTGAGGTCACATCGTACATAGTTGGATCTTGGTATCGCACATGAAAATATCGAGGTCGTTCTGGGTTTGATTTCAACGAACTGCTTCTCTGTCGGAGGATCGGAATTTCTACTATGCCATAGTTACTAACGGTTGTGTTTGATCCACTTGCGTGCGATATGACGACGATAACCAAAACCACGAAATATAGAACCATTCTAAGTTGGTGAAGTAGAATATCAAGCTTCTGCGAAATGGGCAACACAGGTAAATACGAATTTTATATAGAGACAGATGAGAGAAAGTAAATAACTATAGTCTTCCATACGAACGATTTTCTATTGCCTCAATCATTCAAGTGGCTTATATGTAAATCTTCGACAATCCCTTCATTGAATTATGATTTCATTCGTTTCGAATACTTTCATATTACCAATGTTTCCTTACTAGTTCTAATAGATGTAGTTTTGAGAGCATGTGTCAAATTTCCAATATTTAAGATCTTTTCATAAGTTTTAATACTATTCCGAAGTGAAATTTTGCAATGTTGAGTTCGATTCATGTCGAATAATGCCTGATTCATAGAACAGTCGTGCTAATACAGACTAGTGACAAGTAGGTAGAACTTGTCTGTTCTATGAAGCATGAATAATAAGTACTTTTGTCTGTATACTTCAAAAATCCGAGCAACTGTAAGATCACTGAGCCGAATATTGTATCCTAATTTTTCATTCTCATTTAGCCAAGGGCCTCTCCCCTCAAAAACCAACTTTATTATTTTTTCTCCGATTTCAACCAAACTTCACGGAGAAGGGTGGGATGTGGGTGTGAGTGTGAGTGTGGATGTGGGTGTCGGTGGGTCTAGGTGTGTGGAGTGTGGGTGTGGGTGTGGGTGTGGGTATGGGTGTGATTTAATCGAAAATACTTACAAACGTCCACACCCATACGCACACCCACACCCACACCCACACCCACACCCACACCCACACCCACACCCACACCCACACCAACACCCACACCCACACCCACACCCACACCCACACCCACCCTTTTTATATATGTATGTCTAATAATCAGTTGCATTCTATAATACATCATATACAATGTTAAATTTTCTACTATCTAAGACAAACACAGAAACAACAGTGAAATGAATACGAAATCGTTTTATGATTAGTAATATTAATAATTATATACATATTCAATTGATTTTTCGCGGTTATTTGAAACTTCTTCTTCTTCCGTCATCCACATGGTTTCATCATCTGTATCATTGGTTGCTGTAGACATTGTTTCATCATCTGTACCATTGGTTGCTGTAGACATTGTTTCAACAGTTTCCTCTTCATTTGTTGCTGTTGATGATGATGATGATGATGATGATGATGCTGATTCTTTATCAGTAATGCTTTCTACACTACTACCTTTGCTGTCCGAATCTGACAATGTACGTTCACGTTGACGTCGAAGAAAATCACGTTCATGATTCATAAAAAACGGGATATCACGAAACGTAGAGAGAGTATCATCATCTGAATCGTCATCTGATTCTTCAGGTGGCTTGACGAAATATTCATCATCGTCTACAAAACGAACAAGAAAAAAAAACAAAGAAAATTAGACTTTTATTTCTTTGATGACAAAATCTTGTTTCTTAAATATTATTTACTCATAATGATAATTGTAGCGCGTCTCTTCCAATACGCTTTTATTGCTTTCTCTTTGTCGGTCAAGTTTTCTTTGAAGAATATTAGAGCATCCTCTTTATTCATTAAAATGATAGCCGGCATATGTGTTTGGATTTTCTTGGGCTTCATGTATTTTCCACGAGTCTAATGTATAGAAAGAAATATGAAAGAGAAATATTTGCGAGTTTTTCGGTGCAAACAGTAAGCAGGATAACCTAAAATTGCTTTCTTCATGTAATTTTTTGAAAAGATATCAAAATAAATAGGTGATGTCTCTCTCTCTCTCTTTGTTTAGAAGTGATCGTCAATGATACATGATGGTTATAAATTTTTACTGCGTCAGAAGTACATTTTCAAAGACACCAGGGATATCAGACATAAACCTTTTGTAGTCATCATGTGAAGTGTGATTCACATGGCACTTAGGTCACATATCACTATCGATGTGTATCTTGGATAGAATTACACTAAATTCGATCTGTGGAATTCTTTTCTCATTTTGTGAAACACGATCTGAAAGGAGTGTTGAAGTGTTTAAGGGTAGAAATTTGGACCCTCCCCCCCCCCCCCCCCCCACAGACCGTGACAGACAGTCACGTGACTCATCACAGACCGTGACAGACAGGGCTCTGGACCCATCACAGACCGTGACAGACAGGCCCGGGATCCATCACAGACCGTG